AAGAACCAACTGTATTGAAGAATTTTACAACAGTTGCAAAATTGCTTTCTCTGTTGAACGCAGCCATTACATCCTTGTTTGTCAACGTTAAACAAGAATGTGTGTTGCATGGAAAAAAAAACAGTTTTAAAGTAGCTAAAAAATTAGCTACAATACAAATCTGAAAATAATTTTGTTTAGATCATCAACATAATTATGTAGAATATTAAAACGTAGCTAGAATGTTAAAACTTTTTGCACCTACCATCGATGTTTAATAAGTATTTTACGTAATTATTTTGATGGTCCAACAAAATTATTTCAAATCTACAAATTCAAATCAGCTAGCTAAATTTTTTTATATTTCAGCAAAATCGTTCATGTATCCTTGCTCTCTGGAAGACGCCTCATCCCTCCCATTTCCACTGATTTTATATTCTAGCACGTATACACACATTGGGTGCATTTCGTTTTACGCATGATGCGCATGATGTATCATTTTATCCTTGTTTAAAGCCCATTCTACAATTAGGTAAGCGTAGTTGTAAGAATTAATCAGAATCGAATATTCTTCTCATATTTAGCTGTGATTGATCAATTCTTACAATCACTGAGAACAACGCTTACGCAATTGTAGAATGATCGAAGAGAATCAGCTGACTCTGGGAGAAGATAAATTAATTCCCATTGAAAAAGAAACAAAAGCGAGTCTCTGTTTCCTGAGAAGACTCCGGCTTGATCTATGGATATGTATAACAGTCTGGCATTTTATAAAAGTCTGGCACTTTAATCTTCATAAGAGAGGTAAATCAACCAAGGGATATACAAGAATTGTAGAATGGGCTTAACATTTCGTGAACAACATGGACAAAATGGTACATTATGCGCATCGTATGTAAAACGGAATGTACTCATATACGCGCATCAAAACATTACAGAAACGCGCCACCGCCAAAAATCGTCCTTTGAAGGAGGTGCGCATACACGATTTCGCTTCTATAATTTTTCGCCGGTTTTTACCAATTTTCCATTGGGAAGCTAAAGTTCGATCATGTTGGCAACGTCAATTAGTACCGATCAATCTCGGATATCGATCGATCCGTGAATGATTCAAGGAACTTCTGAATGATATTCTAAAAAGAATATTTTACATGCAAATTTATTATGATTTAGTATAGTGATGATTAGTATATTATTGAATCGATAAAATTACAAATTCTCTCCCTGTGTTTCTTTTTTTAGAAAAGCAAATATGTACAATCGTAATCAGTATTAATCGGCGTTGCTCTCGGCCCTAACGCTTATAATACTAACAAATCTCTCGCTCTCTTTCATTCTCTCTCTCTCGCTATCTTACTGTGCCACTTTTACAGAGCACTATGTACAAAAGAATATACTACTTACAGATTATCAACGGTGATTTACCGTAAAATTCCTGAACCATCGCAACTCAAAATGGCGTATGCACACGCAGATATATGTATAATTTGACAAGAAAAAAAAAATAAGATATCGAAAATAAAATGCCGATCATAAGAAAACTAAGGATTATGCCGTTCGTTGGTGCTACACCAAATGCATTTGCTTAACTAAATTATTCCTTGGGAATCAATCTACAGTCACGATTAGCTAATTCCGATCAACGTATCCCTTATTCCTCCGCTTACGGGACATCATACGTAAGAAAATACGATGAATCAGAATTAGGGCTGAATTAAATTTTAAATAAATTTAGAAGTTCAAGTCTAAACGAATCTAGAAACGCGAAATCAAATCCCGCGTTTCTAAATTTATTCGACGGACCAAAGGGATATGTCACGATCCGTGAAATGCAACACCCGACGACTGGATCGGAAGTTCCCTACGGCTTTCTCGATCGAGCCGTCCCGCCGCCTGACGCGCTTCGCGTGTGTTCTATTGTATATTCGCGATGTTACTCTTTTTCATTTAGTATAAAAAGTCTCATCCGGTGACACGTCAATTGGTACGTAGGCAAATCCGAAATTCGATACACATTCGACCTATACCTTAGACTCGTCATGCGTACTTTAATGAAGAATCCTTAACGATTAATCCTTACACGCGTATTAATATGTGATGCTTATGAGTTTATGAGCTACCTATACTAAAGGAAAAAACATACACCACTGAAAGATTATATTTTCTTATATCCGCGATCACGCGTTATTAGCTACTCGGATCGCCGCGCAAAGCTACTTTTTTTTGTTTTTTGTTTTTTTTTTTATCTTTTTGCACTGTGCATACGCTTAGTGGAGATGTAATGTTTCGCGGTAAATGGGAGCAAAATTTGAACGATATGCGTCGCTCTACACGTGATAATAAAAATCGCTACACGACTCTGCCTCGTTCACGATTTCCTCATCCCTCTCCCCTAAATTCATGTAATCTCTCTCTTACGCGCACTCATCTCAGACATCATTACACCACCACCCCATATACAAATAGTGAAGCACATTAAAAACGTAGCGATAAGCTAAGTATTATGTAAGTATTGGAAAACTTCCACTAATTCTATGCAAAGTATAGCTTGTAGAATATCATTCATTAAAACTAGAACTTATATGATAATCGAGAAGAGAGAGAAGAATTCTACCTCGCCTGTACCTTGCGGGGTAATATTCCTCTTTCCATTCTCTTTCTTTTTATCCTTCTTTTTGTTGAAGCGCCGTTCCTCCGTTCTCCACGCTCGAATACTTCTTATCTTTTCCGGGATTTTTCGTGCGCGTGACTCGGAAAAACTTTAATCAAAACGTGACGCCACCGTTCTGATCGCGTACAGCGGTCATGATTTAGGTACAACTTCGTAAATAGCGTGTCCTCGAATATCCGCCCCATCCTTGCAGATTCACGCTATAGAATACATTACATCGTAAAATTACAGTTGAGCTCAACTCACTATGTCCTGCCGTGTCGTTCCTATGACGGAAACAAGCCAAAATCATCCTGCTTTTCCACGCTTACAGTAAAGCGCATCCTTTAAAACGTATGCGTGCCAACGTTGATACATGGGCGAGAACGTTGGCTGCATACCGTGTTTGCGTAAATTTGCCAAAGTATCGTCTGCCCGCTCGGACGATAGCGTCTCTGACTCAAGATTGGCTAAAATTTATTTCAAACTGGATCATAAATTGAAATAAGTTTTACCATATCCTTTACAAGTGGTGCGAGTAAGGTAATCTGACAAACTTCGCGTACACGCGAAATATCTGCGAAACGCTCGACACAACGATAAATAATCGGTAACTCGCATCAACTCGTCTCTCGGGGTCAACAAACAATTTCTACGTTAAAGAATGGATGAATAGAGACGAGTCCTATCTTACAAACTCTATCCAGCATCCACGAATCATAATAATATAAGGAAGTGCGACCACATTTGTGTTCCCAAGGGGGAAGTGTTCCCAAGTTTCGCGGTGTAGTATCTAAAAAAAAAATCTAAAGTAAAGATCTGACGGTGTTACTTGTTGAATCGCGGTGGTCTTCTCAACCGTGTTATCAGCTCCGTCCTGACAGTCCTGGCGTAATTCGGCGTAGCGTACTGATCGGTCACCGCAATTGTACTCTGAAGACTCTGTATGAATATGGATGAGTCCTGTATCTGACCTACACTCGCTGCTGCTGCTGCCGCCGCCTGATACTGATATTGACTGTTGGTTATGTCAGCGGTTGGATAATGACTCGGTTGCACGAATTGCGGCGGATTCTCGTACTGCGGATACGGGATGGAGCTCTCCGCGGGGAACTGCGGGATCACCGGATTGACATTGACCGGCGTGGTGGGATAACTTCCCGGATCGTAAGTCTGATACTGGTTCAGCTGGCCGATCTGCGGTGTGGTGTTGAACGGTGGTGACTGCGGAAACTGCGCAGCGGTATCGGGAAACAGCACGTTTGCAACTGTTGGTTGCGGAAAGGGTTCCGGTCTCGGGTACGGTGGGATGTTGGCCGTCACCGCACTGCTTAGATTCTGGACGCTCGGTATGCCGGGAGCAATCGGCGAGGTGCCATATCCGTGGAACGTAGTCTGCGAACGACCGGTGTGATCGCTTAGATCTTTTATACCGCCGCCCTGTAACGAGCCGATGATATTAAGCTTGGACTTGCCACTACTGACACCGACGCCACCGACACCGACGCTACCGACACTGACACCACCGCCACTGATGCCGCCACCGATCGTCTCGTTACCGTGCTTAATACGTGCGTCCGTTAATAACGGATGTCGCACGTTAACGATGCTCTGCGGGGCACGCAGTGGCGGGAAGTTGATCGGTGCCATTTTCGGCATCGAGCTCTGCTGTTGTTCCAATGCCTTGCGCGCAACCGCAAACGCGCTGTTGTCGTTCCTCTGACAGGAACCAGACTGCGGACTATATGTGCTGGACGGCGTGTAGATCTCCCTGTGTATAACCGGCGTCGCTGTCGATGACTGCTGCGTTGCGAACCTTAATGGCAGATTGGCGGTTATTGATCCAGCGATGCTGGTGTTCTTGTAATCCGGACTGTTCACAGACATCGATTGCTTGTAATCCGATTGAATGGGATAATTCTTGATGTTTGAATCCGTTTCATTTGGAAATTTCTTTGGGGCGGTATAATCCCTTGGATTTTTTATTGTGTTTTCGTGCACGGTGTTGCTTATACAGGTACTGACAGGCCGTACGCTACTATATGTGGAACTGCTGGATTGTTTTGCGACGATCGATTTCGTCGTGTTGTGCGATTCGCTCGAAGACTTCGGAGTATCATTATTACCATCATGCTTTTTCATCGACGAGTTAATTTTGCCAGACGCAATAGTGTGAAAAGTAGCATCTTTGTTGCCCACTGTGGTGTTCGTTACCTTAACAGATAACTTAGATATTCTATTCTTATTTCCCATATAATTCTGACCGCTTTTTCCTTTGTCAAAAATCTGATTTTTGGCTGATAATACTTTGATATCTGTATTATTGTTCTGATTATTAGATGCCAGATTATGGGGCTTGCAGGTGATAGTGACTGGCAGGAGCAAAGCGCTGGCTCACTTCTTGGTCATGATTTTCAGATATTCCAGGGCATTTTGAGCAGCACTGGCTTGAGCATCTTTACTAGTCGCCCCGCAACCATAGCAAACTGCCACTGGCAGGGTAGACAGTTGCACAAGGCACTGGAATTTACCTAGAAGATAGAATATCATAATGTTATTGCTGTAGCATTGTTCACAAATAATTTTTATTTTTCAATGTGTACAATTAATTGGGCAATCTTGATAAAAATTTGCGTCATGATTCATGATAACATTTGACATTAAGAGATGATAATAAAAAAAGTTACATCATGTAAACATTGCTAAACTCAGATAAAATTATGCTTAGAACACAGATATACTTGAAAGAAAAAATGCTATTTATAAACAGTAATAGGAGTAATCCATAAAAGAACAAGTAATCAACAATATGGCAGCTTTAACATCAACTAAAAGAGCTTTGAGAAAAGAAATTACGGGTATTCTTAAAAATATTAGTCTAGAAGAAAGAAAGGAGCAATCTGCAAATGTGTTTAAAAAGGTGAGTTCTGAGAAAAGTAAATAAATCAATAATCTTCAAGAGCCAGAGGCTCTTGGCTCATTGAAGAGGTTATGTTCTGATACAGGAGCAAGTTATGTGCAATAATTTTCGCATAATATATTTGCAATATTATTATTTGTAGCTATGCCAGTTAAAACAATATCAAAATAGTAAGAGGATTTCTTTGTATTTGAGTACTAAAGATGAAATTGACACTTTGCCCATCTTGAAACATATATTTGATATGGGAAAAGAGGTATTTATACCGCAATATCATGGAAAAACTATGGAAATGTTAAAACTAAGGTCGATGGAGGATTATGAAACATTGCCACTAACAAAATGGAACATTAAACAACCAAGTACTACTGAAAGTCATGAAAACGCATTAGAAACAGGTAAATTCTATGAAAACCAAATAATAATAAAAAAATAATAATACATTTTATAATAAATTATTTTGCAAAATTCATAGTTTAATAATTTTAATGAAATTATTTATTTAACTTCTTTATTATAGGTGGATTAGATTTAGTAATTTTACCGGGTGTTGCTTTCACGATGAATGGTGAGTTTTACTCAAATATTACATCATTTTGTAATCCTGCATGCAACTGTATCGTCTTTATTATTGATTAGGAAAACGTTTGGGACATGGAATGGGTTATTACGATAAGTACTTAAAAAGATGTTTTCAAAAAAGCATAAAGCCATATTTGATTGCAGTAGGATTTAAAGAACAAATACAAGAAGACATTCCTGTTAATGAGAATGATGTGCCTGTTGATATTATACTTACTGGATAATAAATAATACAATAAAAAAATATGTGATTTTATTCTATGTGCAGTTATATTTCTAAAACCTTATAAATCTATTTATAAAATAATTTATACATAAAATCGTTTTTTTTTTATATTATATATAATTTGATAAACTTACCACTGATAGATTTCTCTTCAATATCAACATAGGTTACTTCAAACTGCTGCTCTGACGCAATTTCTTGTAAAAATTGTACCAAATTTACATCCCCGTCGTTGAAACAAGTGTTCTGCAATAAAATTAGAATAACTTACACGCAATCGATTGCAGTCTAAGTCGATATTGTAGGGACAAACGAATAATTTTTTTCTAGCTTGATAACAAACAAGAGAACAATTACAATATATATCCTATTCTTCATTGCACTTGGATACAAACCTGCAGTTGGAAAAGCTTAACACCTGTGGACGACTTGAGACTCTTGTGAAATTTCGAAACTTGGATACTATGTATTGTTGTCAGTGTTGAAATTTTGCTACCTTTCAGATCGGCATAACGGGCGTTCACATTTGCGTTTCTTTGCACAATCTATAATGGACAATTAATATACATGTAAAATTTCTTGTAAGCACCTACGTTACAAAAGCTTTAACAGCTACTTCACATTTATATAAAAACTTAAATGAAGTGGATATGATCCAAGCGTAATTATTTTCAAAAGATAAAATACATAAAGCTATACAAAAGTTACATTAAAATATGATATTGTCCAAACAATGGTCCGTTATAGATTTAAACAGATCGGAAAGATAGCTTTTATTACATAAGGCTTGTTCTTTGTCGCTGGACTGACTTGCATTAAAACTTTCAACACGGGAACCTCATAATAGCGAACCACGAAATAGCGCGAAAAATCCCTTCTGCGTTAAGAGTAAGCTTGAGTGGGGGAGTAGCAGTAGCCCTTAAAAACTTTGAATTTTGTTATTTTAGAGTGAAGTAGAGGCAATCTCGTCATAGTAGTGTTCAAATTTCCAAACCGCGCGCTGTTACAAGGTTTCAGTGTATCTCATTTTTATTAAATTTTCAATACCTATCTATTTCAATATCTATTTCATTTTAAGTACGAGTATATTCAGCTACAAAGAACAGGCTTATAAAGTGGCATTAAAGCCAAAATCACTTCCACTTCTCTAAATACACACACTCGTATACGCTCATATGCACATACGCATACATACACATCCAATTTAAAATAAATTATTGATCATTCACACTTCTTAATTCTTGTGACCACATATCTGACAGCCATTGCAGAAGTTTTATCCTTCTAATTATGTCTTAGCTGTTTTTTTCTTTCTTTCATTTATTTAAGTATTTTTCTGGATTTTAAAGGGCAATGAAAGATGTTTTCAGAATAACTTTATTCAATGGAATAAAGGTAGAATGCAAGAGAGGTTGAAATATTCAAATGTCAAAATAGTGATAAATATGGATTGAATTATCTATTCTTGCATATATAAGAATAGATAATTTTCATTATCTGATACAATAATTAATGAAACAAGAGCATTCTTACCTCATCCTCATCTACGCTGGGAGCTTGGTTATTCATTTCATGTAAAGCTTGCCACATCTTATGAGCGGCGTGCCTCTTGGCGACCTTTTTACTTTTGCCTTGACCAACTTCGCGATATTTTAGAATTGAACAAACAATAGTAAATTGTCGCTCATGAGGTAAACCTTCTTCACCCTCCATCGAATATTTTGGTGGTGGCCAGTGGCGCGACATACACATTTCTTGTAAGGCTCCGATTGGGTTATTCACTATTTTCTCCTCGCCATATGTCTGCAGTTCTTGTAAATTTTGTGAGCTACATAAAAAAATATATACATTTTCTATACAATTATTTCATCCTGCATGTATTCTTGCTTATAATTTTAATTCTCCTGTAATCATATTTTTATTTTCTCCATTTGGGTATTTCAACTCAAATTTTAAGATCTTTACTTAAAACAAAACTCGAAATTTAAAGAAAAAAAATTTTTTTAAATACAACTTAGCAATAAGAAAACTAGATTCTGCTCTCCTTTATTTTGCAGGTGAATGAAATTTCGCCAATCCCAAAAAAGACCCAGATTGCAGGAAGGATAAGTATGTTAAGCGCAATTCATGCTTACTCGGGTAAACTATTTGGAATTGGCGATTCTACACCATCGGTATTCACTCCAATTAATTTATCCAACACAGATTTTGCAGCAGCGTGTTTAGCTTCTTTCTTGGATCTGCCGGTCCCCATTGCTGAAACAATTGGGTCTGTTTCTGAATAGTTATGTACTTATCAATCAACAATACATTGTTATGCATGACAATACATGCACAATGAATTTATACAAACCAACGACATCGGTAACAGTGACTCTATATCGAAACGTAGGCTCGTGAATAGCTCCCTCGATTTGGACGAGTTCATACTTGGGTATTGTGCCTCTACGGGAAAGCAATTCCTGAAGAACAGAGACAGGTGTTTTGCTGGGTAACGACTTCATTTCTAAACGTGCCGCCTCGTGTAATGGAAGTTTCTCTAACATCATGGCATGTAATGATACACGAACTCTATTACGACGATTGGCATTATTAGAATGATTAGGAACGCCACCCACACCAGGCATCATGTTAGTAGGCCCGACCTGCGGTGGTTGATGCATTTCCTCCATTGTTGTGGTCTGAAAATCACAAATGTTATGAAGCCGTAACCTTCCCCCAAAGTCAAAGTAACTGATGAAACACAAGGCTCAAGTCATGATGTAAAAAATAGAATTTATCAACATTCCCCTTCTCATCACTCTATTTACCTAATGGATATAATGTCCGTTTCTATCAATATGGATTAAGTTTAATCTTGATTTAACTTACTCCTCATCTCTTTCTAATTCTTAGAACGAAAAAGAGAGAGAGAAAAAGAAAGAGAAAGAGTCATTGGTAGAAACAGGCAACATAAAGATAACATTAAGGAGTTTTAAAACAAAACAAATCTCGTGTCCTTACATCTGTATTCATCTTAGTGAACAACGACGATGCATGTAGGAGTCAATTAGTGTCCTCGTGCGCCCTTTACGATTTCGTCCTCTTCTATCTCGCTATAAATATCGAAATCGCGGTGATTACTCCGGATTTACTCTGGATTTCCGGTCGCCACGATGCGGTAATTAATACATCGTCATTAATCCGCGGTCGCATATCCCGGCGAATGAGAAAGTCGACATGCGGTGTGCGCGTGCAAAACGTGTCGGAATCGCGTCTTGTCGATGTGGTCAACGATGTTTCGAGACCGCGAGGGAGACCGGCATGGCCGCCATGATTGTTATAAAACTCATCGATTGACCGTAACGGAAATACGGGTGAGACACGCCGGGGACGGGGTGTCGTCGCGCGTGGTATGCACGTAGAAAGTGAACGCGGCGTTGTCTCGCGGCTTTCGGCGACGGTGACGACGGGACGATTTTCAGAAAAACAGCCGCCGACGCCGACCGGTTGCCATGCGTATGTATGAATGCATATACATATATACGTATCGTCCGCTACGCGGCGGCGGTTCGATCTCGACGGGCCCAAAATCACCGGGGGAACAAACACGCGTCCTTCGCACTTACGATTTTCGGGGAGACGTAGCTGCGTGGAAAAAAATGATGTGCCGGCTCCTCGTCAGGCCAATTCCTATGCGAAAAGCGAATCCCGCTTTTTGTGATCGATCCAAGTCTCACAAAAAGCTTGATCCGTTTGACGACAGAAAAATGGTTCACTGGTTAGCGGAGAATCCCTTCCTCGTTCGCAGCTCTACGATATCTGTGAGGGTGCCCATCCATCATATCATGCCCATGACCGTTCGTGTATGCGTGCATGCGCCGCCGATATGTTTCTGGGACTCGTGCGCATCTTCCGTCTGCGCACGCGCATGCCTATGTTACCGTTGTTCGATAATGCGCGTCGCTCGACTCGATCGGTAAATGTATATCATTCGGACGGTCGTAAAGCCGGAATCAGACTATGCATTGAAGATTGAGATTGAAGATTGAAAAATTCAAATTTGACCAATCGAAATGAAAGGAGCTAAAATTTCTTTGTCCTTATTGGTCAAATTTCAATCTTCAATCTTCAACCTCAATCTTCAATGCGTAGTCTGATTCCGGCCTAATCCCGATTGGCGCATGTCTCAGCGTCGTCTACAATACACAGAGTAAGAAGTAAGAGTAAGAAATTGACCAATCACAGTCGATTATTCTTCTCACGTTCGACTGTGATTGGTCAATTTCTTACTCTTACTTCTTACTCCGTGTATTGTAGACGATGCAGTAAAGCTCATGGCACATAGGCTGCGTTCAGCAGACTCAACAGTTTTGCAACCGTTTTATGATTGTCTGCTGAGATAGGACCATTCTTCTAGATCTAAAAGTATGATCCAATTAGCGCGAAGGAAACTTACAACAGTTGCAAAACAACCGTTCTGCTGAACGCAGCCATACAAAAACGTAAGGTCGGAAAGGTATCTTTTCATGTTGACGCTTGACGCTCATTTTCGGCGCCAATATAAGTCAAGTGATATAGGTACATTTTCATGCTGACGCTCGACGCTCATTTTTGGCGTCAATATAAATCACGTGATAAAAATTGACGAATATCAAGCGTTAGTTTTGATCTCGTGACCTATTTTGACGATGAAAATGAGCGTCGAGCGTCAGAATGAAAAGGCACCAATATGGCTTCTGCACACTGGACGCGGAAACGCTTACCCCGGATCAACAATAGAGTTTTAAGCCTTAAGCCATAAGAAATGGACGAATCACAGTCAATTATTCTCCTCGAATTCGACTGTAATTGGATAATTTCTTACGGCTTAAGGCTTAAAACACGTATTGTAGAGGGGGTTAAGGCCATCACACGTACAAAAATTTTAGTCGTAATCGTAAGGCTGTAAGCAAATCGGCCAATCAGTCATCACAGTCGAGCGTTTTTAAACACGAGATCGTAATTTTGATTGTGATTGGTCGATTCACTTGCGACCTTACGATTACGACTAAAATTTTTGTACGTGTAATGGCCTTTACTTAACTTTAAGTCCGGATCTACAATAAGTGTTTTAAGACTTAAGCCGTAAGAAATTGATCAATTACAGTCGAATCCGAGGGGAATAATCGACTGTGATTCGCCCATTTCTTATGGCTTAAGGCTTAAAACCCTATTGTAGATCCGGAGTAAGAACAGACTATGGATTCTGGCCAAAGTGACAAGGAAGATAAAAGCCGCAGCTTGTGTCACTGTTACTCTAACCTTTTTTAAGCCCCATATGCCCTAAGCCAATCACGAGCGATTCGGATCACGTCTAGTTGACGATTCTCTAGAGATTTCTTCGCGTCGCAAGCTCCAACATGCTCCAACATGCTCCTACTATAGCTCTTACTCACTCTATCAAGTGCGTTAGAGTGAGTAAGAGCTATAGTAGAAGCATATTGGAATATGTTGGAGCATGCGATGCGACAAACCCCGAAATTATAGCTTGATATTCGTTAATTTTGCATGTGGATATACCTAAGGGTTGGTTTATAATAGGCCGTCATTTGTTAACGCGGCCTATTATAAACCAACCCTAAAGGTACAATTTCATTCAGCGAAGCTTCGCTGGCGAAGACCCCACGAGTCGAGCACGTGAATACTCGGCGCCCAGCCAGAAAAAGAATGTTTTTAAGTCTTGCAGTTGGCAATAGTTAATTGGACATATTGGGCCTGTTTTTTTTGGCTATATTTTACATCAGTTCATCTTTCTTCCTCTTTTTTTCTCCTGGAGAGAACTTCTTATTGGAGCCTATTGTGCCTATTGTCGAAACGCATTGGGTGCATTCAGTACCATGATCGCTCAATGACAGCGCTCACTGAGTAAAAAAGGGATTAATCTATGATTAATATGTTTATTTGTTATAATTCGTAATGTAAAATAACTTATCTATTATCGATAATCTTTAATATCATATTCCTTACTTATTTATTACTGTTTATTATTTCTCTAATGCCGTGTTTGGGACGTAAGATTATAGGTTTGTTCTTTTTAACTAAAGTTCTTGCAAGGTTCATCTTTTTTCTTTTTCTCTCTAACATCGAGAATCATGCAAGAACTTTAGTTAAAAAGAACAGGCCTTATGGCTGTGGTCCACTTGACGCTACAAACGCTTCGAAGCGTTTGAGCGACCAATCAGAACAAAGAATTTTACGAATTAACTAATCAAAGAATGCTTCGAAGCGTTTGTAGCGTCAAGTAG